ATTCAATATGCCCAACACCAACAACCGAACAGAGAGTGTTCATTCATCAGGTTGGATGGGTATTCTTTCAAAGCGGTTCCATGCCTTGAACATCTATTGAGACTCAGGCTCAACCTAGAACTCAAATGGAACTTATATATACGAATTCATTGGTGAAGATGCTAGAAAAATGGACGATTCATTGTATCTCTCTAGTTTTATCTGATGTATTTTATATTTACAGAAACCACATCAGACCTCAAATGGAATATTACTACCATATCTTGGTTGGAGTTTCCCAGTTTACAGTTGTCTGCCGAGACAGAGTTCAAAAGCGTCTACGCTGCTTGTGGATGATTAATTATTTTCCACGTTACACCCTCTTTCTCACAAACAAAATGCCTCTAGCTAGTCTATCGCTATTTTCAGGCTAGCTACCTTCACTGGTTCTACAATCCTGATTGTTGCAGCTGAAACCCACCATGCCACGCACACAAGGATGAATCATCCCGTTTCCTTCATATTCCTATAGTAAGAAGTAAGTTCCACTCAGACAGATTTTTTTCTAAGAACGGCTACTTTGTGGAACAGACTCCCGGAAATATATATTTTCCCAGTCACTACAATCTTGACATATTTAAGTTTAGGTTTAACCGTTACCTTTCCTATATAACCTCACGAACTGCACTTCTTGCTTTCTTTACGCTCATACATCACCACACAGTCATCCTCTACCTTGAATGGCTCTTGGGGCTCTTATTAGGTGAACATTAGAAAAAAGTAAAATCACCGTTATTGCACTTGAGTAGTACTTGGTTAAAATTATTATTGAGTATATTGCCATGATAATAGCAGTTATAGTCCTTTGAGTGTGCGATACAGACAAAGTGAATGATATATTTTAGAAGGTTTTTGCCCACAGTGCACAACCCCAAACCATGGCATGATAGTTTGAAGTGCCATGTTAAAATATGATTGGGTTTGGGTTTTGTTGAACGAATGATTGATTGGTTGTCATTGTTTATCTGCATATCAACAACTCTATGGTTTATTCAATGTCAAAATATAAATATTTTGTACGCAATTTTGTTTTTGAGATAATAATCGATTTAATGATACACGTCTTATTAATTAACCCATAGCTGGGGAGAAGAGGCGGATTCATATATTTCTCAAGACTAATTGCGTGTAAGTGAATATAACGGACCCAACTGAAATTGGAACTCGGCTCTCCGATTAACAATTCTGAGCTATTATTCATTACACCACCCACACATCTAAGCACCCTGTATTCCAAAGTGGTCACCTATCTAGGTACTGACCAGGGTCGACGTTGCTTAACTTCGGTGATCATACAAGAAGTGGTGTTTTAAGGTGAAGTGGCTGTAAGCAAATAATTTTTAACAGTGCCAGACACATTCAGAATATTGTTCAACCTGTTCTCGTGTTATTCCTGCGACGGAAAGACCATGTGATTTACCATCAGAATACTACCCCCCCCACACACACACATGTTGCCAGGGCTAATCAACATATTCTCCAAGATTTTAGACAATTATCCTGTCTGGTACAATAGCTATGTCTTTTTTGTTTTGCTTTGTTTGTTTAAACCTTATAACCGTGCATACATGTTTCTTCATCTGTTATGAATATTTAGAGGCATTTTTCATTAGTATTTGCATGATTAGACAACAACTAACGGGCTGTGACATGATTCTGTTTTTGTTCACCTGACAGCAGACACAGCACGAATTTTACGACGAAAAGCTGCATCTTTAATTTTAATTACGTGGCACGAATTCCCACCACTTCGACAACAATTACCGCCGATTACATAACGAATTTTCTCAAGGTCGAAATCTGTTGATATGGAAGGTCATTTAAATTCTTTGGAATTGTCTTTGGTGAATGTTCTTCCCTATTTGGAAATTGGGTAGAATACAAATTGTTACATGAGAATCAAAAATGGAAAAAAATTCCAACCCTTTAAAAGTTTTGCTTATTTTGAAACAGAATATTAATTAACCGAGTTTGAATTCCAGTTAGTTTCGTTACATTCTCTTACGCGCAGACAACATTGGAAAAGCTATGAATCCATATCTTCTCCCCCAGCTATGGGTTGAATAGCAGTACAGATTGGTTCTTATAGCTTTGGTTGGCAACCAATCTACTGTAGAAAGTAACAGCAACCTATTGCTATTGGAATGTTTTATTACGGTTTTTTTAATATATAGTACATAATGTTATGTTGATCAGATATGTATAGGAAAAATAAATTGAATGTTGTAAATATCTATGCCGATGATACGAATATATACAGGCGCATCACTAAAAGCCATGACAATCAGATTTTGGCGGCTGACCTCTCACCTGATCGAACAGTGGGAAAAAAAAAACAGTCATGTTACATTCAATGCGAAAACCAAATTTATTACATTCCCTCACTGCTGATCAGACCCCGAACTACCATCAGACATGATGAACGGATGTCCCGAGGAGGCACCGTGCCTTGCGAGAATATTGGTCCACAAACCCACACCCAACCTCAAATGGAACCTCCCTGTACCGATCCAGTAAGTACCTGACTCCTCATGCTGTCCTCTAACTTTATAAGAAAAAGATCATATCGAAAATGGAGTACTGTTGCCAAATTTAGGCAAAGCGACCCAGTCCTCATTTTCCAGTCTTGATAGAGTTCAAAAGCGTCTCCGTGTCCTTGTTGGAGATAAATAATTTTCCACCCTTCAAAATTTCTCTCACAGGCGGGATATGGCGAATCTCTCACTGCTCTTTCGCTACTTCCATGGAAAGTGTTTGGTTCCCAGGACTATCCTTTACGGCTAGGACCCACCGTGCCACTTATATACTAGCACATCATTCGCATTTCCTCCGTGTGGCATAAGCGAGAAGTAAGTTCCACTGAAATAGATTCTTCCCGCCAACCACTGCCCTGTGGAACAAACTCCCAAGAGGATTTTTACCCGATCACTATAATCTTACTTGTACAAGTCTCGAGTTAACCTCCTATTCTTACAAACTAATCCTGAACCTAACCCTTTATCTCGAGTGGTTCCAAATCCTGAGCTTTAATATAAAAGAAAAAAAAATATGACAGCGCTCTAGTTTAGAAATGTTTAAACTATCAGCAAAATGAACGGGTGTTTTTTTTTGTTCAGGGAGGTCCCGTACCTTGAGTGTGTATTGAAATTTAAGCTCAACTCAGGCCGCAAGTTGACTTCATACATGCTGGAAAAATAGTTGGTCCTTTGTACGGTTCTAGTAAGTACTCGACTCTTCCTCTACATTTACGAGAGAAAGATCAGACCGAAAATTGGAATACTGGTACCATTTATAGCCGGGAAATGCCCAGTTTTCATCATTCCAGTCTTGATAGAGTCCAAAAGCGTCGAAGTGAGTTTGTTCGTGATTAATTATTTTCCACCCTACCATCTCTTTCCCACGGACAAAAAGGACGCAAGGCTGCTTTATCGCTATTTACATGAAAAGTGTTAAAATGAACAACATTCCTTAGTTCCAACAGTTCTAAACTTAACAGCAAACCCCACTAAGCCACGCACAGTTCAGCTAACAACACACATTCTCTTCATATTTCTTTGGTGAGATGTAAATTCTACACGAGCAGCTTCTTTTCACGAATCTTTACTTTGTGGAGCCGACTCCTAAGAAGGTACTTGCCTCTTACGCTCTGGCTTTCTAACTAGAGTGGCTCTTGGGTTTTGTACATGGTGTCCATTATTGTAAGAAATATACAACCAATTTCTCAGATCAATTATTAAAAATGGTTCTGAGAATCACAAAGAACTCACGGGAGAGTGTATGTTCACACTTGCGTATTAAAATCTTTTCTGATTGGTTGTCAAGTTGTATCAAGACTGCGCAACCGGTCGGAATGTTCAAAAACAGCTCGTATGTACGCAGTTTTATGAAAATTAATGATAAAATGGAAAAGAAATATTGTGTGAAGCGTATCGTCGTTTAGAACTTCATCGGACTGCAGTGATGTCTGCATTGATAAGACTACAAATGCGCATGAAGGAAAGACAACGCTTAAATTTTAAACTTTTAAACTTTTTACGCTATCAGCACATCTTTAAAAAACTGCAATTACTTATTTTTTAAACTCAGAGTGCAGTATCATAAACCTTTGTAGCCAGTTTGACTTTTACTTTAAAAAAATCCATTATTATGGCCTTGTGTCTGACTAATCTTAGAGAAAAAAATATTTTCCAAAGTCATCCACATGCAGCAACCATAGAACAACAGAAAGTTTGGCCACGGAAAACAATTGAATTAAATTATCGAATAGTTACGGCACTTGATGGCGTTGGGATTGGGGAAAGGAGGTTGTAGAGTAGAAAATAATTCATCGCCTACAAGGCTGCGTAAACACTTTTGAATACTATCAAAACGGGAAAGTGAGGATTGACCACCTCCAGTAGAGATATGATTCTCCATTTTTGGTTTTAACCTCGTTTTGTAAAGATTAAAGCATGACAAACGTATGAAGTTGTTTTTGCCGCTGAATAATCAGCCGCAACTTTTTCTCAGCATCTTTAGCAACGGTTCACGCATATGAGTTCCACGAGGTCTTGAACGAACTTAAATCCCAAAATACTTTCAAAGTAAGGAGCTTCATTGAGACAACAGCCACTCATCGGAAATGAAGAAAACTCTCACCTGTGGTGATTTGGGGTGATGAAATGACACAGCCTTTCTTTTTGAGGCTCTAAAGTCAGATACTTTTAGACCTTCAGTCAAGATATAGATTTTATTACGATTTTGTACTTGACGTTGAAATATATAATGGTTCTAAGATTTTCTCCAATATGGTAAACTATGAACATTGGTGCTGCTGGATGTGTTCATTAGTCGACACCTTACCATTCTCTCATTTCCCTGGCAAACTTATTAAAACGGCCGTGTATTAATGATGATGGAGGCAAGTGAAATAAAGGCGACGGTTGTCCATTCCCAAAGGTTATCTCCCTTCGTTGGAAGTAATGGCCGGTGGAATGACCGTCGAAATAGAGTCTCTTGTGGGTGATCAGGCTAAACGGCGTTGGTCGGGTGGCGCCGATAGCACGCCCCGAAACCATCACGCTTATGCACTGCGTCTAAAACAAATACATCTCTCTCTCTCTCTTTCGCTCTTTCTCTCTCTTTCGCTCTTTCTCTCTTTCTCCTTCCCCCTTCGTCTACTTTCGCTCGATTTCTCTCTTGCTTTCAAATACGAAGTCTCTTTTTTTCCTGTTTATTTCTCCTTCTATTTCCCTGACTTTCTCTTTCTCCAGAGATATACATATTATTTTTCCTCTCTTCGACGCACAAACACAAATTTGTCTTTCACTCACTCACTCACTCACTCAAACGCATACCAATCATGTGCACACACACACACACACACACACACACACACACACAAAATACATACACACAGGCACACACACAAACACACAAACATACATACTTTAAACGCTATTTTTAGAAGATGAGCGTATTTGAGTGGAAGCTACGTTTATTTTATTTAGTATTTTTGTTCGTCTACTAATCTTTAACGTTTAAAGTACAAAAGATATGTTGGATTAAAAAAATAAAATTATTTCTTTCTCTCTCCCCTCTCTCTCTCTCTCTCTCTCTCTATCTATCTATCTATCTATCTATATATATATATATATATGAAGAAATATAGTCTTAATGCGTGCTATATTTATGGGATAAAGTGCTCAATATCAGAGATAGAGCGTGTGTAAATATAAAAGTGAACATAGAAGTCAACATTTAGAGGCGACAGTCTGTTTCATGCTATATGCAATCGTCAGGCCACCGATTGCAGATAGCATGAAACAGACTGTCGCCTCTAAGTGTTGACTTCTATGTTCACTTTATATATATATATATATATATATATATATCATCGGCTTTATCTCGGATCCAAGAATTTAATTTCTTCCTTGCTAATCGCTTTCTTTACGATGGCGGCGTTAAAGAACAAATTTGCCGTCAACGCGCAGGTTCTGAACTAGAAGTATCCAGATTTGACAGAACCTGCTCCTGTATTCCATTTCCTATCGCCGTTGGTTGTAGGTGGAAAATATGAAAGTAGAAGAAAGTGTCAATGGCGTGAATTTGTTTAAGGTGAAACTCAACTTGCCTGGGAGTGATCAACACACTTAATTTCATAAACTTCCTCTGCAGAATATATGGAATGATACCTGAAGAATCCAGGTATAAAACTGTTAAGGAAAGCCACTGACTCTATTATAATTTCGAGTGGCGCCTTCTGTATCATATCATAAGCCTCTTCATTCGTTGATTGAACTGTTGAGATCTATTGTAATTGTCATCCGTTTGTTCCACCGTTGGGGTCTTTGGGATTAGTCGCACTTAGTCCGGGTCCACATCTTCGACCTTGTCGACAAGGATGGCCTTACCGGGAAGTTAGAACTCTAGACAGCATCACTCTCCGAATCTTGCCACCATACAAAGACCAACAATCAGTTATATATATATATATATATATATATATATATATATATATATATATATATATATATATATATATATATATATATCCTTCTCACTTAAGCAGTTATACATACATCAAGCAACTCTCTCAAACACATACACACACAAACACACACACACAAGCTACAAAATAGACGTTAACAAACAGACTGCTCTGGTCCAATTATTTATTGCAATATTTCCCTCAATGTTGCATTTTCCTACATATATGTATACACAAAATATTAACCCTCTATTTCAAACACGAGTATCCACTATCATAATGTTTGATATATATATATATATATATATATATATATATATATATATATATATATATATATATATATATATATATATATATATTAGGGTAGCATGTCATGATTTAAACATATATTGTTAAATATAACAGACAATGAATGTCTATTATGTCTGATCATTAGCCGTTCTTATTTTCATATGTTTGCTTTAATTTCAGGTGAAAATAAAGGCAAAAGCTTAGGATCAACTTAATAAAAATATCCAAATTCTCAACAATTGTGTCTTTATTTTCACCCAAAATTAAAGCAAACATACGAACATAAAAACGGCTCATGATCAGACATAACAGGTGTTCATTGTCTGTTATATTTAACAATATATATATATATATATATATATATATATATATGATTGATATCAAATCCCTAACTGTAAAAGGATAATACAAGTATGTATTTTTAATATAAAATATCTAAGATCAATGAAGAGAGTTCAATATATTGTTTACATTCCAATATTATATTTATATACAATTTTCTTAAAACCATGGTGAGCTTTCAAATTGTCTCCTCGGCACGACTGCATTGTGCAAACTGATCTCCTTAGATCTGGAATAAAAAAATGTTGGCAAATAAGCTTTTTTGCTGTATAGTAATGATATATTAAAATTCCAATAAACTTTATTTTTTTCTTTTTATATACCGTGTCCTTTCAGGACGTAGTTGATCATGGCTCTTCACTACCTCTATCCCTTGTAGCTCTCAATAAGTTTCATCCTTCTGCCACCTCCCCCAGACCACGTTTTGTCATCCACTTGATTAAGCCCACCAGGTATGTCATGCGTTGCTTTCCCTTGTCTCTCCTTTCTCTTTTAAAAGCTCAGTACTCTTTTCCTTGTTACCAATGCGATCCTCCTGTCTCGCAATACTCTGCGAAACTTTTGGAATGCCTCTTTATAGGACCGCCGTTAAAAACGTCTCAAAACTTCTGGAATGCACCTCGTGTATATATATATATATATATATATATATATATATATATATATATATATAGGAAGTGCTTTAAAAGGACTCTGGTGAAATAAATTATTATAATGGAACCATAAAGTGGTCTGTTTTTTCTTTAAAATATATATATATATATATATATATATATATATATATATATATATATATATATATATATATGTAGGTATGTATATATTGTATATATCTTTGAAAAAAATTAAGAGGAGACGTATAAGGATAAATACGTCCCCTCGTAATTTTTTTCTTTTTTTTTTTGCAAACAAATAGAAAAAAGGAAGTGACGTTCTACGAGCGGCCTGCTTTCAAACAGAATTGTTCATAACGATTTTGATTCTCACCAGTCGAGGTGCAACTAAATGCACCGAAACAAGGTTGCATCCTTGTAGCGTGTAAATTGTTTTTGTCTATATGAAAAAAAATATAATAAATAATTATTGTTCTACTCTCGGTATTGAGCCCTCTTTTGAATTATATATATTATTTTCGTTCTCATTACGTTCGTATATATATATATATATATATATATATATATATATATATATATATATATATATATATATATATATATATATATATATATATATATATAGAAAAACAGAATGACAAACGGCAAGATGGTGAAAGTGAAGAGAATACTGTTTTCATCGATTCTCCCACGAAACGCTCATTTACCAGGTCGTTTCGTGTGAACGCCCTTCTCCCCAGATACTCATTTAACACTAATTCTCTTCGGCTTCCCTTCTCTTTCCCGCCTTTTCCACAGTTTTCTCTCTCTTTCCCTCCACCCCTCTCTAATATTTTGTAATAGGTAAATACAAGTCGAGGCAAAGTTACAAACACGGAAAGGTTATTTGCCAAAGCAGGATCAAATTCAGGTCGACACTATTTCACGACTCTTTCGTATTAATTGTGTTCGGATGATCATTATTCGCATCATCCTGATTGATTTACAGAATTATTAACCATAATGCCGTCACTGGTCAGTGCAGAGAAAAACAGGGTAAATCAAATTCATTCAATACGACAATCTCGACCACGTTTGCCTCAGGTGAGCACACGAAGAAACTGATGCCTCTAGGGTTGTTAATATTTTATATTATCATATCATTACATAATAAACTTGCATTGCATACATTATATATCGAAAGGAAATAATAAACAGATTCCTTCAAGAATAATGTACGAGAGATCGTTCAATAAATTTCGGGATTTATCCTATTTGAGTCGTCTGGCACATGGCCACTGAAAGAGATGAGCACGTAAACAAACTGGTTTTCTTCGCAATATTCTCAGAATATATTATACGAGGGGGTATTGAAAAGTTTTTAATCCAAACATCTTCCTAAAATCTGACCAAATATCTAAACACTGAAAATAGCCATTTTTCAGTCTCGCTTTTCATCTCCTCCTCATAAAAACACAAACTGCTGAAGGTAACTCACATTTAAAAGTGTCAGTAGTTTGATATGTAATTTACTCATTACGTATCAACATTTTGATATTTCTATTACTATTTCACAGCTTTGTGTGTGTAAAATTCAATTTTTACCGTATATATATATATATATATATATAAGAGATAAATAGATAACATTTGAAAAGCTTATAAACGTTGTGTTTCACCGATGTCTGTTGGTTTCGGCTTTTTCGAAATCCAACAGACGCCATTCTATATATTCTATTATATATATATATATATATATATATATATATATATATATATATATATATATATATATATATATATATATATATATATATATATATATAAAAAATTTAAAAAAAAACAAAAAATATTAAATGATTTAAGGATTTTTTTGTTTTTTCAAAATTTCTTCATTCTGTCGGATTTATATCCATTTACACTTATATATATATATATATATATATATATATATATATATATATAAATCAGGTTTCTGGCCGTCGGATCTGATAAGGTAATTTAATTTATTTCCTTTTATCCTCAAAAATCTAAACGCATTTTCCTTATAGACAGTTTTGTCTTTCATTCCGACGTGAAGAAGAGACCAACAGACGTCGTCGAAACGCGTCGTTGATAAACCCTTCCAATTTTTCTCATTATTTTTTCTTCCGAATATTATTATGTATCATACCAACACATACACACACAACACACACACACACACACATATATACACACATATATATATATATATATAAAATGTTCACTTTTATATTTACACATGCTCTATCTCTGATATTGAACACTTTATCCCATAAATATAGCACACCTTAAGACAATATTTCTTCATATATATATATATATATATATATATATATATATATATATATATATATATATATATATTTTGTATTTTTAAGGAATTGGCGCATTTTCTTTATTAAGACTCTCGAATGCACAGACCGACCGACATAGATATATACAGCTTAATAAACAGTGATATCTAATCAACATGTCTGTCTAATATACAGGGTATTCGCGCTAAATTTGACAGAGTTTAATGTTTGTATTTTTTAAATTACTTTTGAATATTTGTAAACGGTGCACTGCGTTGTGAAACCTAATCACTACAGTTTTAGCTGTGTCGAAGATGGACGAGCGGAATCCACCTGAATATTGGAAGAAGGTAACCTGCATCAAGTTGATTTGTGCCGGGAATCAAAATGGCGCAATCACGACAGCTACTCAGTGCATTCTGAACGTCGTGAAAACAATAAAACGTGAAATGGAGAGCTGCAACGGAGACTGTGAGGCCGTGACTTGTTAGAAAGTATGCAGAAGACGTTCTGATTGCATCCTTACACCAGAATCCACGCAACAACTGCAGGAGAAAATGATGGAAGACCTAGGCAAGGGTATGCGGGCTTTGGCACGGGAATACGTGTTGTAATTTCCACCGTGAATCTGTTCATGAATGAGGTCTTCCGCTAACAGTTATAAAACAGGTAAACTTGAATGTGAAATATCTTGATGAACCAGGGACCACATGGTTCTTCTCCGTTGAAAAGAATTTGTGTTAGGACCATGTGCACAACAGCTTCCCTACAACCCATAAGGTGTTCCCGTGCCATTAAGATAAAGTTTCTCCAAACTGTTATAGTTTAAGGGTGTATCTCCACATCTTTGAACAGGGTCCCAGGCTCAGTTCGGATGGTATTTGGAGTTGCCGAACACCGTGGTTAAGCCTTGGTTAGAAAGAGTCGCTACTGGAAGTTCATATGTGTGGTAGCAAGAGTTAGCTACCTGTCATACTCTAGGAAGTGGCAGAAGTGCGTGAGATAATTTTTACTTCACCCGCCCAATGTTTTGTCCCCTAACTCACCTGATTGTAATTCCATGGATTGTTATGTGTGAGGCGGGGTTGAGAGAAACACTAAGCGCATATCCCCTAACATCAAAGCCCAGCTGATCAAGGAGGCATTTGACATCGTGAACGCTGATATAGTATTTCCACTTCATGTCAGCTGAGAACGTTATCCCGACAAAACTCAACAAGTCACTTTCCTGGAGGTTAGCATCAGCCACGCTGATGGAATGTAGAGAGGGGTCTCTCAGATGATTTACGGAGTGAAGTTTGGTTCTGGAGGTGTTAATTTAACAAGTCATCATTTGTCCCAACAAAAAACTTTTGGATATTGGTTGCTATTTTGAACTTGTCAGGCGGATTAACATTACTATCGCAATTGTGTGATCAGCGTAGATACAAAGTTGAGAGCTGATGCCATCAGGAAGGTCATTAATGAAAATTAAAAAGTAAGTAGGCCCAAAGATTCAGCCCTGGAGAAAATCTGCGTAGTAAATGCTCTCGATGAGTGGCCGTTCAGAATCACTTTCATTTCAGGATTTAATAGGAAAGATTGAATCATTTCAAAAATGTGTCCGGAGATGCCGTAACATTTCAGCTTGTAGAGAATACCTGTATACCAAACACTGTCAAAGGCTTTCGAGATGTCCAAAGCTACAGCTTCACCGTTTTTATCTAGAGCATGATGTATTTCGCCTGGAGAAACGAAAGTTCTGTTACTTGTAGAAAGAAACTGATATATATATATATATATATATATATATATATATATATATATATATATATATATATATATTCAGTTAATTCTTAACACACACACACATTAAAGAGCAAAGAGAAGCCGCAGACGTTTTTGCTATTATGTGTATTTTTAAAATATATATTATACTTTATTTTTCCATATTTTTTCTACACTAGTTTCAGGTGTTGTCACCTTCATCAGAGGAAGAGTGTTTATTTCCACATATTTAATTTTTTCCTCATATTTTCTCATGTTTAACCGTGGCCTTTAGCGTGTAGTAGTAATATATATATATATACATATATATATATATATATATATATATATATATATATATATATGTGTGTGTGTGTGTGTGTGTGTGTGTGTGTGTATGCGTGTGTGTGTGTATGTGTTAGAAAGTTGAATTTTCTTTTCGACGTGATATCGTCAGAATTTTTGAGTGTTTATATCTTGGTAAGGAATCTTGATATACGAATATACAAGGAGAGAGAGAGGAGTTAGAGAAGGTGAGAGAGATAGGCCGAGAGGGGAAAGAGAGAGAGATACATATTTCTGTCTTTTCGCTACTATATATATTATCAGAAGTTTGTTTCCCCAAACGCTTCTCATTCTCTGCATTCTATTTAGCACCCCCTATCTATCTATCTATCTATCTATCTATCTATCTATCTATCTATCTACCTATCTATCTCTTCTACCTAACTTTCTTTCTTTTCTGCTTTTTCCTTCTGTATTTGTCTACCTCTATTCTGTTCTCTTTTCAATTCACCTTTTCTCTTGTGAAATCGTACCGTGTTCGAAAGCTATTCTAATTCCCCGATCGCCCGTTTTAGCGAACTCACATTGGCGCCGACCTATGAGGCATTAGTCTCAACGGCTGACCGGAGCCTACTTCCATTCAAACAACGTTGCCCTTTCTCCCGTTCCACCAATTCCGACTTCTTCATTAATTTTACTGCTCCCAACTCATTGGTTCTGAGCCGTTGAACAGGCAAGAAAACTGGGACAACCATTTAGCCAAGACTGACCAGCGATCGAATTCGGACGATACGTGAGCAAAGACGAGGTTTTACAGAAATTTGACACAAAAAGGAAACTTATACTTACGATTAGGAAGAGACAGTTGCAGTTTACAGAGTGAATAATGAGGAAAGAAGGCTTGGAAAATCTGATATTTGCAGAACGGATTAATGGCAAGAGGGACAGAGGAAAAGAACGCAAACCATACTTAATTAACTTGAGTAGATGGATAGCAGAACGGAGTATAGGTGAAATAACAAGAAGACAAAAATTATTAAGTGCTCCAAAGAAGAGGAAATTGTGAAGAGCCATTATCTCCTACGACAGGTCACATAAAGAAGAGACGATACTTCTGTAACCGGTAACATACAGAACAGACATATGCTATCTACTTCGTCAACTGACCCAATTTTTCAATCTCTCTCTCTCTCTCTCTATATATATATATATATATATATATATTAATCTTATGGCCTTATGAAACATTACCGAGCGAGAAGAATAGAAGCTTAAGCACGATTAAGAGGCATCGCGAAAATTAAAGGGGGACAACTCATATCGAGTTATAATTATTATAAAACCCAGGTTGTTTGTGCGCGCGTGTGTGTGTGTGTGCGTGTGTGTTCGTTTATATATGGGATCGGATTTCCTACATTTTTCAACCGATTTCAACAAAACTTCACTTTTTTTTTGGCAGTTAGTGTTTCTTATTGTCTTGCACACTTTTTTCTTTATTTTTACATTCAGAATGCTGTAAAAATTCCATTTACAAGACAATTGTTTATAATAAAATTCTATTCAATCGGTAGACTCATAACGATTGAAAACAATGTTTTTGTTTGAGTTTGGGTTTGACCAATTCGTAAAAAAAAAAAAACTAATTAAGACATGCGTGTCCGTCAACCTTAAACAATAATCTTTGTCAATTTTATTTTTCAGTCTTTATGATGGTCGATACTTTATCTATCTCTTACTGTTACATCCCCGGGCAACGCCGGGCTCTACTGCTAGTGTAAAACAAAATCGTATTTTGCACCAAAATAATTTAACCGGGACATAATTATTAATAGAATTGAATGCTCACTTAGCTTGTGTCTTCTCTAAATTTTGCAGAGATTACTGTCACTTTCATGAAACTTGATTGTTTTAAAATTGCATTCATTTTTAGAATAGAATAATTTCCTTAACAGTCGTTATTTTTTCCCGTAAATTTATTTTAATTCGTTCTTTTATATATATACTAGCAGCATGGCCCAGCGTTGCCCGTGCTTGATTCAAAAATTGTATGACTCATACACCAATCGCTATCACTTGACTTAAAATATTTTTGCCCTTCCTTGCCTTTAAAGGACTGCTCTTTGCCGTGCTGATGTTGCTACATGCCTTACTTCTTGCCTAATTCACACTGCGAATTTTTTCTAAGATCTATACTAAACATTAAATCTGTTACGAAAAAAGAACTAAACAAAATGAACACAAAACGATCAGTTTTAAAAAAGGACTCGTAACTGGAAAAACCGAATGAAAAAAGAATGTTAACAACAAATACTTTTTCACACCCAACCCAGTTCTGCGGAATCAGAATCAACGTTGAGTTGAAGCAAGCCACTGAACCAATTAGAGTAAAGTGCCATGCAGATTTAAATTTTTCCCACTTGTGACGAATGCAGCTATCGATTTTTTTTGCATGCTAGTATGCTAGTTAACATTCGTGTCAGTCAGCTATTGGCTGTCACGCTGGCCAATAGAATCTTCCTGCCTATTCGTGGCAACCAGCTAGAGGCTCTCACTCTGGCTAGTACAAAATGGCCGAAAACTACATGAAAACTGCCTTAGAAGCATGAAAAAATCGGTATTTCCACTATCGATGGGAGTTGGGAAATGCACAGTCGGAGCATGTGCATGTAAATTGTAAGTAACAGCAAAATTGTCCAAATCGTGTAACAGCAAAATTGTTCATTTGTTAGATTAAGATTTAAACCGATGTATCTTAGAAACGGTTAAAGGTGTCTTACTGGAATTCTCCGACGTTTTTATAACCCTATTGGACTCTACTTTGAAAAATAAGAACGTATTCATCCCTAATTTGAAATAATGACCCCCTTTCCTTTTTTGACCTCTTGTCTTATGTATTTATATCTTTACGTGTATTGAGATTCATAAGTTTCTCTGGTGGCTTGCGTATATTTACACATTGTTATGTGCACTTATGTACACATGCGCACCTTTATATGCATACGTTTTTCCCCTCAGTTTTTACTTATCCTTTCTGCACCCACAACCTTTTAACAATTTTTATTTTCATTTTATTTCTTTTACTCTATATTCCGTTGTTCCTTCTCACTTTTATGTCTCATCAGATGTTATCCTAACTACAACCCGTCTCTCTAAAATTGACGTCGTTCTGAAATTGAAAACTTGGTCTAACAATTTTCGACCACACTGACTACACGCGAGAAGTCTTCCACACGCTGCAACCTATAACTCTCTTCATCTAACTACTACTGCTACTAATAAGAATAGACCGGCCTAACGCTTTTACATCGATCAAAATTTTAAATTTAAATTTATTTTCATAAAAGTTTCGCTCAGTGAGATCGGGTTTTGCTAATAATATGATCTCCACTAGTAAAATACAACGACCACAAAAACAGTCGGTGAGTAATTCCGATTTCTGTTTATTTCTCGACTCGTGTTTCTCGCAGGGAGTGTCCGAAAATTGCAAACTTAAAACATTTCTTTCTGTGCTTCATTTCTGTCATATGGTTAATAATTAATATTTAAGAAATGTTTATCGTACTGATTATATTGTTACCCTTTCCTTTGTCCTTGTTTTATTAACCAACCTATCTATTTTACATACTATAATAAACACACGTGAACCCTTTCTTATATATATATATATATATATATATATATATATATATATATGATATAGCGATATATAAATTTTTATAACTTTATATATCAACAAACAGTATTTAGAAAAAAATATGACAAACTGTAAAGTTTTATCGTGATGCGTTTTATCCGTTATAAAGCCTGATAAAATCCTAACGGATGAAACGCGTCTCTCCTCTCTTTCTCCCCCCTCTCTCTCTCACACACACACACACACACATATATATATATATATGCACATAATCATTAAAAAGGATAGGTATTTTTATGTCTATTGAATTTATCAATCGGATTTTTCTATATTGTGAACATGCAAATTATTGGATGGTCCTGCACGAAAACTTCACCACTATAATCAAATCTCATGTGCTGTTGTCGGGCTGTCGGTTTCCTAAGAACTGATCTGCTTGACCCTCATATGTCGAATTCGACGGGAGAATTGGGTATATATATATATATATGTATATATATATATATATATATATATATATATATATATATATATATATGTGATAAAATAAATTTTTAAGTTGATATTGATATCAACACTCAGCGCCGACATATTGGTTCATGCTAAACGCAATGGTGTGACAATCAATGGCGTTTAGCATGAAACAGACTGTCGCCTCTGCGCGTTGATTTCAATGTCCACAATTATATTTACTTTGTTTTTCCAGCATTCCTACATTGCGTACCATGCGACTTTTAAACGAGATATAAAATTAACGTATCTACTGCTGAGACTGGCTGCGCCGTTGATCAAAGTATACAGTCACTTACTATAGCCAAATAAACTTCAAAATTAGGTCTTCAAAGATTGCATTGAGCATTTAAGGAATGCATTTTCTCGTTGGGATGTCGACAAATCTACATATTTTACATATGACAAGTATCGAATCTGCGTCGAATTTTCATCAGGGAAAACATTTTTGAGCTATTATCCCGTTAAATGTTCGGTCATAGAGATCAATCTGGCAGTGCATTACATATTTAAGGAAAGTAGGTTTATCAATGAGCTTTTACGAAACTATATCTGCTAGTTTCAGCTTCGTACCCGAAGCGTAAACCACAGTAATTTTTTTTAACTATTATTCATTACTATAAACTTTGTTTTCTTTATGGGTTCACGTGTTTGAGTTGTAATACCTGATTTTTCCGGTCGATTCATTTATTTCGTGCTGCTGCTCTTAAAAAAAGGCTTGAATGGATTTTGTCTCAGTTAAGGGCCAAATAGCAATGGGGACTATGGCTAAACTAAGCTAAGAGAGGACAATTTCATTTCAAGGAGAGCTGTTCTCAGATTTTGTTGGACATTGTGCACGATTTCTCTGTTCTTATTTCCGTAGAAAAGTGAGTCCCCAAGCCTTTACAACTATGATCAAAACATCTGTGTGCGCTATAATCTAGCGGTTCACTTTTAATCTGAACTGATGGGGGTCTGATATATCAGAATAGATGGCCGAATCCACTTCTCCCCAATCTCTTCCTCTATATCTATCTATCTATCTATCTATCTATCTATCTATCTATCTATCTGCGTGTGATGCAAGAACAACTAATATATGTACGAATTCATATGCAAGCGCGTATCTCAACAAACGGTGATCCTAAAGCAATCAAATTTAATTAAAATCGCATCTGGATTTACCTGTGAAAATTCGAGAGGCCAACGGCATTCCTAGGATTGTTGAATTTACATGAACGAAATTCTAAAGATAAAACTAAAGAACATCAAATATTTTAAACAGAAATGTTAAAAGTAACATATTTAAATGGCAAATTTGAATAATTAAATTTTTAAACAAAGTAATTTAGAAAATAATTTTATGATAAAATCTACGATACTGCGCGTGAAACCGGAATGAGTTTCAAAATATGAAAATTTGAACCTGTAAAATAGAAATTAAAATCTTAAGGAGGAAAAGCAAAATAATCGAACCAAAAGAAAAAAAAAAAAAAAAAAAAAACTGAATTTTTAAGGAAGTGTAAAAAAAAACTAAAAAAAAATAATTTCCACTTATACCAACGTGTTTTTGTCCTCTCTTTATCTCTCTGTCTTTCAGTCTATTTATCTATCGATATTTAAGCAGTGACAATTTATTTAAACAAGTTGTATTAAATTCAACCGGCAAAGTCTCTTCCTATTTAAATGTTTATTGTATTCTTCCACTTTTCAAATCAGCTACTGCCCGCTCCGTTGAAAATTGTTAATAAACTCTTCAAAGTTCTTTTTTGGTCGAGGATTTTTCGAAAATCTCGGACATTATCAAGAAGTCAATGTTGTCAGAATTAATCTATTTTGTATTTTAGTATTATAGAATGATATCTTTGTATTTTGGTGTAGTTCCCGTTGTTAATCAAGGATATCACAGGGCATCTTCCATTCTTTTCCAGTTGGGTGTGACAGCGTGGGCTTCACGAAGGCACTGAGCAAGCAACGAGAATTAAATTTTGGGATACACACATACATAAAGAAAAAAATTCACGCACTCTCATTCTCATTCATACACACACACGCACGCGCACACACTCACACACATAAAAGCGCACGCAAACATCTACATACACACATACATACATATATATATATTTTGTTAAACAAGATATTTTTACTAATATTCACCCAATGCAAGGCCCAAAAGCCACTCAATATAGAGGGCTACTGTGTTAAGTTGCGTAAGATTAGCGCAAGAAAAAGATTAGCGTAAGAGCTGAAGCAGACTTTACAAAGAAACGGAAACCAAACACTAAACATAAAACAAGGGAAAAACCTCTACTCCTGTTCGAAAGACAAATAATACCAGATAGGTTCGCCTATCGTCCAGTTCACACTCATGCCTGGTCTTTTGAAAAGTGGTAGAAGTTTATCCCTTGTTTCCTGTTTAGGATTGAGTTTCCTTCTAAAAGTCTACTTCAACTCTATACTCCTAACGTTTGTCCTTTCCTACGCTAATATAACTCCAGACAGTTACCCTCTACCTTGAGTTGCTCTTGGGCCTTGTATTGGGTGAAAATCAATAGAAACATATACGATATATGTCAAAAGCTGGATTTCAAAGTATCGCTTAAAAACTGAATGAAGAAAGAGTTACTTTTTCTGAAGGGTTTTATCATATACTAGCCGAGGTACCCGGCGTTGCCCGGGTATACAAGGCTGCAATTGTATAACCGCAACCTCATGTAAACTCGCACCCCTGTCATGAAATGTCTGCCTGTGTCCTCGCTTGCATGCATCATCCGTTAGTATACTAAGCTACTATTCACCTCTATCTTTTTTACGGTATGTCCTTCGCAAGCATTTCATTGTTCTTAATAAAGGAATTCCATCAATAAAACCTTATGTCGTTGCTGTTCGTGGTTAAATTGTTTCAATATTTTAGATATTCAGTAAATTTCCTATGGCCGTAATAACTTTCAAATAGTATGACATTGTTCACATATCTAAGAATCAAACAAAAACAGTGACGAAGCGGCAGAGCTTGATTCAACTGCAAGTGGAAACGCATGAATACCCCCCCCCCCTTCTTCGCATGTTTACTGTAAATCAGAGGTCAATAACAGCTTCTTCAAGAATGTTTCCCTTTTAAAACTTCAATAATCCTTCTCAAACAATTTTTGCATCAAAGGATGTTCGAATGCCAATTTTGGATGGAATCATATGAAGAAACTATTGACTAAAGAGCAAAAGCCAATTCTGGACATAGTTTGTCGCAGATTTCATCCGCTTAATTGAAATAATCTAAACCAAACATTCACGCAAGACAATTTGTGTGTCATATGTAATTTACATGGCAAATTTGCAAAGCATCAGATGAAAAACCAGGGAGTTTTTGAACAGCTTTTCCTTATACGCAAGGAAGCGAGCAGGACTAAAGCAACACTATCTAATTTCTTGAATGATAACATTTTTTTAATATGTTTGAAGAAAATCGTATAAAAATGTAATTTGTAATTTTTTGTGTTAAGCCAATATCGCAGGAAAACTATCAAGCACTCTGTATAAACCTCGTAACATGAGCTATATTTTGCATTGTGCAAAGAACATCAGATCATCCAGTAAAAATTTTGTTCGCGTGTACTCACCTTCAGTTTTATCGATTTTTCTGCCAAACCCGGCGGGCCTGGAGATTGAAAAGTTGGTCTTGACCTATTTTGGTAAATTCGCAGCATGCGTACAATTTCATCGAAATCGATCGAAAAATGTGAATGTGCATACATAGCATACACACACACAGACACACACAGACATCTAAGAAGAAGAAGAAGAAAAAGAAGAACCAGATTAACCTACTACCGCTTAAGTTTTCCTTAAAATGTTACCCTTTTTTGTTTTTTACTAATCTATTTTATTGGCTAATGGTAATCTTAGTGCTGGCTGATTTTATGTTTTAAGCAAACCAATGTCTAAAACATTGGACTTCATACATTAAGGAGTTATCTAGTTTCAGATCATAGATTCTTCTTCTTTGGGACGTTGGCAATCCTGGCTCTTCGCAATTTCCTGTCCTTTGTAAATTTTAATTATATTTTGTACTTTTTTTTATCTCTCCTAAATCTTGTTCTGCCATTCATTTACTTAAGCTCACTAGGGAGGTAATGCGTTGTTTGCCACTGTCCCTCTTGCCTTTACTCCTGTGAGTATCAGATTTTCCAAGCCTTTGTTTCTTTTTATGTGTTCTAGAAATTTCACCAGTCTCTTCTTGATAGTAAGTTTCTTTTTTGTTTTCATTTTCTCTAAAACTTCGAGTTTGCTCACATATTTGGCTCATGGTATTGCCAGCTACCTTCTGTTACTTGAAGTCTCTTATTCATCTGTGAGTAGATTAACCAGAATTCACTGCCATATAGGAGGACAGTTCAGTACTCCTTTGTTTCTAACGAATTTTTTCTTTTTCTTTGCTTAGCTTTGGGAAGGCATCTTTCGCTAACCCAATTGACCTTCGTATTTCGATATTTAAATTGTTGTACTTGCCTGATGTTGGCATCTTCAATTTATAATTTGCATATTGTGCTACTTCATTTTGCTAACAAGAATGCATTCTGTCTTCTTGCTGTTGATGTTTCGTCCTTTCTTCTCACTTCTGTAGGAGTTATTTTGGTTTCCTTTTTTTGCCTGCTATCATTATGTGTTATCTACATGTTAAAATTGTGGCCGCCGAAAAATGAATCATTGTTGGACTTGCGATTCTATCATGATCGCCTTGTTGTATAGGTCAAATGGAGAGAAGGCACAACCTTGTCTTACACCCTTTCAATTTTTATATATTTACTGGATTTATTTTGTATCCGTATGTAAGCGGGTTGCTGTCAGTGTAGCTTCTGGATTATTCTAATATCATTCCTAAATATGAAAAGGTTACGTAGTAATAGTTCCAACAGTTCTTTGTCAAGAAATGAACGGACAAAACTTACCACACACACACACACATATATATATATATATATATATAACATAAAAGGAAAAGAAAACTTTTCTTCGTTGACGCGTTTCGTCCTCTGTGGGACCTTATCAAGGCAAATGCAAGGATTTTATTTTTAACAAGTATTTCATACAGGGGCAAAAATGCTATTGGTTTTTCAAAATTCTTGAGTTAGGAACGCTCATAAATATTCATCGGTTTAGTAGAGACCTCAGGCGAACGATGGGGAATGCGAAGTGATACAATTCAAGAAATAAATCTAATAAACGGAAGTGAGTAAGTGATGTCGTGTAAAAAATAATTTGGAGCAATTTTGAGCAAACTGGTATTTAATTATTTCAGTTTGAGATTAATTTATGTGTTATCTATTCTGAATATTACGTGGTCATGAGTTTAAGCGTTTTCTTTTCATTTTCTAACATTTTTGTAGTCGGGTATCTTGGCTTAGGGAAAGTAGTTCTTTTAGAAATAAGGATATTGGAAAAAATCCTGGGCGCAAATTTATATTTTGGTAAGATAGCATCGCGGCACTCTTGAAGATATCCTTTCGAAGTAAGTTATTTTCACTTTTGATAAGTGTGGCATTCTTTAGATCAAAGTTGTGGTTGAATTTGTTTCTGTGTATAACTAATGCATTTTGATAAATTGTTGCGTGTAAGATACCTTTTGTGTTCATAGATACTTTTTAAAGTTTCTGCAAGTTTCCCAAATGTATTGTGAGGAACAGTTCTAGTAATTTATTTTATATATATATATGCTTCCATGTTTGCTACATGTCCTGACTATCGAAGACTATTCGATGTTTTTAATGTCGTTTCTTCCCAGGATTTTGGTTTTAGTCACATAGTAATTCCACTTGATGTTCAAGATTGAAAGAAGCTTTTTTTTACTCGTGAAAGTGTTGCAAAAGTTGGTTGGAGGTGAAAGTAAAAAAAGAGTAGAAAAAAGTGCTGATGGCATGAATTTATTTAAAATGGGCCTCAACTTGCCATGAAGGGCACACATAATGGATTTCATAACCTTCCTTTGCGGCTCATATGGAATGAGATATGTAGAATCCAGTTATGAAACTGCAATGGACTGTCAATTACACCTTATACTTTCGATTGGGGCCTTCTGTAGTATGTCCGTCATGCGTAGCCCTCTTCATCCGCCTGTTCAAACGTTGAGATATGTTATAATCAT